TTTAAGGACACTCAGGGTGACTGGGAAGACTTGAGTAGCTGAAGTAATGTTTATAAAAAGTTATGAGTCTCAGTGGTTGCTTAAACATGATTCTACTTAGTTCTACGATGTTTGCAATTGTCAGGAGGTTTTCCTCCTCTGAGCCCCGTGGCCACCTCAAAGGGTCCCCTTTTGTCTGCATGCTGCACGCCTGCTTTCTAAGAACTGAGCTGGTCTCACCTCACCCACACACAGGGCGGTGAGCCCCTCCAGAGGGCTCAGGAAATTATTCCAGGAAATCCATGGCCCCGACCCAGCCGATCCTCCCTGGGGGGAGCAGGCAGAATCTCTTGCCTTAGCATCTTAAGAACGGAAATGTGGGAACTGAGGGTCGTCAAGGGGTTGTCAAAGTAGAATCATTTTCTGTCTTGGGGAGCAAACCTGGCTGCTGTGTGTATTATGCAGAGCAAAGACAAGCAGGAAGAAGGGAAGGAGGCCGAGGCTCTAATCCCTGGGGTCTGTGGAGCTGGCCTGTCCAGAGCTCTTGCACCAATTCTGTGGAGGCCGCTGTCAGCTTCCCTGCAGTAGACCCTCCTCTTTGACTAAGCCAGTGTGAGGAGGTCTCCTCACCTGCAAAGGCAAGCCCTGACTAACAGTCACCCCTGTCCAAAGCCTAGCCCAGTGGAGAACCCACAGAGACAGCACAGCTCCTGATTCGGAAGGAATGAACAGATAACAGCCAAGCTTGGGTGAGGCCAGCTGAGGGTGGGGGCTTAGAAAGTCTGTTCAACCTTCTAGAACCTGCTGGCCCACTCACACTTCTCCAACTAAGAGACATTTAAGGAGAAACTGTGCAACAGAATTCTTCAAGGAGACACCTCACTGGGAAAGGATGGGGCATGTGACCCAAGGAAGAGAGCTCCATGGCCTTCCTCAGGCTCCTCACCTGCCACCACTCAGACCATGGGCATTCTCTCCACGTCCCATCCCCCAGCCAGAAGCCAGAAAGGGAGAGGCAGCTGACAGAGGCAGCTCTTGGCGAGAGCCGAGGCTGCCAAGACCAGCCCTTAACTCAAACGGCCACCCGATTCTCTGCCACCATGGAAGAGGCGCTCCCTTAGGCCCCATCCAGGCCTCAGATTCGGAGAACACACATTTATACTTCAGTGGAAACCATGTATTGTCCACAGACCCGCCTCTGGCTTTACCTGAGTCTTCTGCTACTGCAGCTACTTTGCAATGAAAGCGTCATGGATACAAATTCTGTCTTCCCTTCTACCCTGTGAAAAATTTTGTCTCTACACATTAATTTCTAAATTTCTAAATGCCAAATCTGGACAGCTTTCCATTTCTTGGATTCTCTTTGAGCCAGGCAGAACATATGCCTGGGTTCCTCACTGACTAATGAGTAAAATTTTTATATCTCTAGGACAGTTGTGAAATAACTAGTTGTGCTAGTCATTTCTCTAGCACCTTTTTCCTGAAAATTCTATTTCAGCCAACTAAAGGATTCTGAGACCATGAACCAGGTCCAGTTTATGCTCCTGATTCTTCAGTGCCACCTGAGGGCCCAGAGCCCAGGCTGCCAGCACCTGAGGGCCTCCTGAGGTCCCCAGCCCCTTCCCTCACCGCCCTTCTCACCCCTGGGTGTCTCCACCTAAAGGCTCTGGGCCAACAGGCCTCTCCCACTACTGGAATCAGCCTTCTGGGAGGTCAATTGTGCCTGCAGGGGTGGGGGGGGTGCATTCATAGTCAGAGCCGCTCCTCCCTCCCAGCTCAAACAGCCCCACAGGCTGTGGCTTCTGCTCCTTGAGTCCTGAGCCACGTGCTACCTAAAGAATAAGAAAATTAGTATCCAACAGAGAGACACCGAAGAGGGGCAACGAGACACCTCACTGGGAAAGGAAAGACTTTCTGGCACACCCATGCCCACATGATTTCTACCCCTGCCCTTTCCTTAATGCTGGCATTGTTCGCAGAAATCGACTACCTTCCACTTTTGCCATCCCAGCCCATGCTGGCTCCCAGCTCCTTCCATCCAGGACTTTTATGGACATATTTATGCATCACCTATCAGGAATCAGGTGCTGTGTGGCCTAAGGCAAAGTCCCTATCCTCTAGGGACTCACCTTCCAAGCCTCAGACAAAGAAATACTTAATCCACACACAGGGAGACCTAGAACACAATAGCACCCATTACTTGAGTACTCCCTCTGTGCCAAATACTTCTCATGTACTTAACCTTCACGACAAACCCAAGAACAGAGACTGCTGTGAAAAAATGGAGGCTCTCGGGAGTCCCGTATTGTTCATGCACACGTGGGGTGTGTGACCGGCTTAGAACACACTTTCTCAAGAGGTCAGGCCCGTGTCCAATCCCTCTCTTTGGGAAGCACTAGCTCCTTCTCCAACAAAGTTAGACTTAAGAACATAAGTGTGGGAGTTAGGGTGTAATTGATCCAGAAGGGTGACGATGTCACCCAAAGTTAGACCATTCCAAGTCCTCCTGGGAACTGGCAGGGGAAATTTCTTTTGCCTCTGACATTGGAGCTCTGAGCAGCTGAGATGCTAGAACCTCTAAGTAACATCACTAGCTCCTCTCCTTGCGGCCAGAACCTGCCTTTTGCTGAAGTGGGTCAGAGAGAATCAGAAAGTCACCGAGAGAAGAGAAACTAACAGTCAGCCTCTGGTACCAATTACGTTCACCACCAGCTCTATCATGTACCCTCCCACAGCTTGGCCCATGAGTTAATAAATTGCCATGTTTTTCTTAATCCAGTTTGAGTTGATTTTCCATCATTTGCCACCTACAGAGTTCTAAGAAATGCAGGTCCCTGCTCCAGCAGCCACGCCACTCAGCCTGCGGCCAGCTCGTGGACCCCAGACAGCGTGAGCAGCTCACACTGGTTTATTATCCCACAAATAATTCCAAGAGGACTGGAGTGACCAGAGGGGTCACATAGGGTTCTCAAGTGCCTAGTTCCCAGAAATGTGTTACCACTTACCTCATGGAAGTATTGTCATTATCATAGCAGCCACTCATGAGAGCTTACTCCATGGGAGGGACACGATTCACTGTGCACCTCATTTGATCCCCCCAAATCTCACCTGGCAACATTGTAATTGCTGCTTTGAAGGAGAGGAAAAGGACAGTTGAGGTCAGTGATTTGCCCCCAAAGTGAAAAGACAGGAAGGAGCAGAACCAAACCGTGACCCCAATGCCCATGTTCTTGGTTAAGGTCACTCATTCCTCTCCTTGTGGTATTTTGACTGGCTGCGTGATCACCCAGCCTTCGGGGCTGTTATGTCAGGCTGAGTGTAGCCAGTTTCTACCCTGGCCCAGGCCAAGCCGTCATCTTTGGTCAGCACGGAGCTGCAGCCAGCCATCTTCCTTATAGGGCAGAAGCCCCTCACGTGAGGTCAGTGGAGGTCCAATACTCCGGGCCTATCATGTATGTGTGTGAAGGCACGCACGTCTGTGTGTTTAAGTATCCACATATATATCTTCCCATATATATCAGCTCTCATATTCTTGATGAATGTTTCTGCTGAGCCTTTGAGCTGGGTCACCTGGGTTACCCAATGAGATAAAAACCTGCCCCGTTGTCTATTATGGTGTGGCTGTTGCTGCCCACTCCACTCCAGGCCTCTCCTTCCATCTGGACCCCAAGGCACCCCAGCATGCCAAACTAGGTCTGAACCCAACACATCACCCCACCCTTCCCCACTGGGACAGTCCTGGGGTCCTGGCCTCTATCCCCAGCATCTGCCATGGTCTATGCAAGTTCCTCTGAGCACCAAGGCCGGTCCCCACCTCTCCCAGAACCACAGCTGTAGGCATGTTGACAAACATGCTCTTCTTACGCGATCCACAGTGGGCCTTCCCTGGTGGCTCAACAGGTTAAAGCACAGCACTGCAAGTGAGCTGCAGCTGCTTCAGTGTGAGTTCGATCCCAGCCCCGGAGGGGATCCACATGGCGTGGCAGACCTCTCCTTACCCGCCAGCTGCTCCCCTTGGAAGTGTACTGCGTCAATCTTCCTGTTTTGCTCCCCACTGTCTCTAGTGAAGCCTCACACTGCCCCTGCACCTCTGGCTTGTACCCCAGTTCTGTATTGAATAAATAAATAAATCTTTTTAAAGAGAGAGAGATCCACAGTGCTAGGCTACTTCTGACACATCTCTCCTTCTTTCCTTCCTGGTCTCCTTCATCTCTGCTCAGAGGTGACCACCAGTAGCCCATAGACCAAGCACGGCATTCACAGTGGTTTCTCATTTTACTGTTTAAAATTAGGAGTTCCACTTAGATCTCTGAATTTAAGTGGTCCATAGAGAAAGTTGTTTAAAACAAAAAACACATAAACATCAGCATTTCTGATTTTTCTTGAAAAACTGACTTTTTTATGATAAGAGCCCTCCAGCCCCATGGGTGCCGGGGCCACCCACTTCGGACAAGACGTGAGCTCTCTGCTTCACCAAGTCCCAATCTTTACTCTCCTCTCATTCGCCCTGCCTGTCTGGCACCCACACCCGGGGCCTGGAGCCCTCCACTCCTTGACGAGCCTCCCAGCTTAGAGTTGGACACCTTCTCCAGATGATGAGCCACAGGGAAGTCCCTTCAATTCCAAGGCAAGCAGGGTCCTCAACCATGTTTGACCCAGGCTCCAAATCCATTGTCCAAGGGCTCCAATTTGCTATGAGCTGGCACCAGTGGCCTATGGGCACCTAGCACCAGCCTGTGGAGCTGAAATCAGCTGGGCAGACCCCAAGTGAGCTCAGGTCCATTTACCAAGCAACTGGCCTATCCTGCTTGAACCAGGTAGACTCACAACCACACAACCACACCTCACATACCCCCATATATGCACACAGACACACACTCAGACTCACACTCACATACACTCATACCAACCTGGTGTGAGTAAGTCCACCCAGAAAATGCCCGGCCTGAGAGAAACCATCCCAAAGCTAGTGCCACCCTGTCTCCTGCCCAGCCCCCAATGCCAGCACGTGGGGCACTCACTATGTTCATGAGGGTGAGGACGTAGTTCTGCACGTGCTCCTTGCCATGGAAGCGCACCACCGAGTCGTCCACCACCAGCAGCACCTCAATGCTGTAGCTGCCCGGCCTGGCGTGTCGCCTCTTCCGCTCTGCTTCACCTAGCTGGTCGCCCACCAGGCTCAGCAGGTTGGGAAGGTCGCCCAGGCCAAAGGCTGGAACCAGGAAGGAAGAGAAGGTTAGACTGTGTGAGGGGCCATCACCCCGAGGCTGATCCAACCTACCTCTGCCCCGGCCATAGGTGACCCTCTTCCTGGTTCTGTTAAGCCAAGGGAGCTGGAGGGTTTGCTCAGACCAGTATTATCTGGGCACCTGCCCTTTTCCTGGCACAAGAGCATAGCTAAGTCCTGTGGCAATGAGGAGCAGAGAGGCTAAGAACAGGCCCAGAGCTGGGAGCCTGCATTCTAGGTCCCACTGGGTCCTTACTCCCTGTGCAGCCTAGGCCAACCCCCTTCACTTCGGTGGGCCTCCAGCACCCACCCCCACATTCCCATCTTCCCACATGGGGCTAAACAATCTTTGATCTCTTGCCCCACAAGTTTGCCATAAAAATCAACATCTTGAGGAAGAAAAGTAATCCTAAGTGTGGCTGTGACCTACCCAGGGCATTAGAGAAACCCTGGGAATAGTTATGGGCTCCCAAATCCCTCCTAGTCACCACCAGTAACTCAAAAAAATTCACTATCCGAGCCATAGTCTTTTAGCTAAAAGCAAAATACTTATTTTACAAGCATTTATTAACTTAAATGATGTAATCTAGGAGCTGTCTAGCTTTTCCTGTAGAGGACCAGACAGTAAATATTTTAGGCTTTGTGGGACATACAGTCTCTATCTCAGCCATTGAGTTAGGCTGCTGAAACATAAAAATAATCACAGACTATATATAAACATGCGAGTTGATCTATTTCCAATAAAACTTTATTGACAACCACAAACGGTGGGGCCATACTCGGGCACCTCAGGAACTGAAATCGGAGGTCAGTACTGTTATTTTTTATTTTCCTTTCAGGTGGTAGCACTACAGTTCAAAGGAAACAAAGCACAGGACTGGACAGTTAGGAAAACTTGGAGCTGCTGGCCATTGGGGAGCATAGAAAAGGGCAGCTGACTCCCCGAGCAACACTCTGCCCCTGAGGCCTGTGCCCCTCTCTCGGCAGGTCACACTGCACAAGAGCTACCGGCAGCTCTGGAACCTCAGCCCAACAGTGAAGGCAGCAGCCCACAGACAAGTTCCTGGGAAAGAGGCAGGAGGAACCCCAAGAGGGGAGAAGAGGCAAGGGCTCCCACCTACGGAGTGAGACTCTCCACCTGCACCTCCCGCACATGAACAGTGCCTGGAAGATTAAGCACTGAGAGTGAAATGTGGAACTTGACCTCTTACCGTTGCCACGGCTGTCAAAGGGGGGCCCAGGGAGGTTACCTGACTCATCCCAGGTCACACAGCAAGTTAACTTAGATCTGTTTCTCACCCATTCTCACACCCTGTCAGGGTCCACCCAGATTTCTCTCCCAAGAAAAACAGGGGAGGGGCTGTTGACATTAGCCATAATGCTGGAGAGATTCCAACCACACTCTCTCCTGTCTCTCTTCCTTCAAGTCAGAGATAGGTACCCTCAAAAAAGAGAGGGGTGGGGGTGGGCCCTCCCTGGTGGTGCAGCGGGTTAAAGCACTGCACTAAGCTTAAGCCACTTCCGCATCCCCACCTGCCCCGGAGGAGATCCACATGGCGTGGCAGACCTCTCCTGACCCGCCTGCTGCTCCCCTCAGCAGTGTACTTCATCGATCTGCCTGTTCTGCTCTCCGCTCTGTCTCTGGTGAATCCTCTCACCCTCTACATCTCTGGCCTGTACCCCAGTTCTGTAGGAATAAATAAATCTTTAAAAAAAAAAAAAAAAAAAAAAAAAACAGAGGGGTGGAGACCAGCAGGCTCTGAGAGGCTTTCACTGAGCCCACCCAAGAAGCCCCAAGAGAATGCAAAATGATGCAGTTGCTTTTTGGAAAACAGCGTGGTGGTTTCCCAAAAAGGCAAACTTAGAGTTGCTGTAGGAGCGAGCAATTCCATTCCAAGGTATAGCTATCCAGGAGAATTGAAAACACACGGCCAACAAAAGCTTGTGCACAAAGGTTCACAGCGTCATTATCACAACAGCCAAAAGGTGGGAACAACCCAATGTCCATCAACACACGATGGATAAAACGTGTGCACACATATCATGGACTATTACCTTGCCATAAAAAGGAGGTTGCAGGCTACAACTTGGATGATTCTTGAGAACAGCCTAGGTAAAAGAAGTCAGTCACAAAAGGACACGTGTTACATGATTCCATTTATATGAGATGTCCAGAACAGGCAGGTCCATGGAGAGAGAAGATTGGTAGTTGCAAGGGGCTGGGGAGGGGAAAACTGGGGTAAATGTGAATTCGTGAGTACGGGGTATTTTACAGGAGTAATAGATATTCTGGAATTAGACATTGGTGATGGTTGCAGTGGCAAGGATATAGAAAAAAAATAAGTAAGTATACTTATATACTGGTGTACTTTAAAATGGCTGAATTTTCTCAATTAAAAAAAAGAAAAAGGCAGCAGTAGTCCCAGCCTGGCTGGCTGCCCCCAAAGGGATGAGCCATCCTGGCGTCTGGCAGCCCTAGCCCTGAGCCTTAAAGCCAGAGTTCTGGCCACAGTGGCCTCCCATTGGCATCCGGTTCCCTCCTCTGGCAGGACTTGGAGGGCAGGAGGGCCTACAGAAGGGCAAAGCCTCAGAGGTCACTGTGGGGCCCACAGGAAGCCCCTGTGGGTCAGGGCAAGGGCTAGCTCACCTGGGTCTGAGAAGGGACCCTACCTGCGGGCCGAGAGCAGGTTTCTCACGAGGCTCCCTGAGCAAAGAATCCTTTGGCTCTTCTTTGGAGCCCATCCAGGTCGGTATGAGTGTACGTGAGTGTGAGTCTCAGTGTGTGCCTGGTGTGCGTATGGGTACGTGAGGGGGAACTGGTATATGCATCTGCGTCTATGATGTATGGGAGGGGGTGAGTATGTGCAGGTATCTGTGAGTGCGTGGGGGTGCACGGGCGCTCCCTTTGGGAAGCAGCATCTCAGCCATCCCCTGAATGGAGCGGAAGTGCCCCCATCAGCCCCAAGTTCACTGACGCACATCAGACACCTCTGCAGTGGATCCCAGGTGGCAGGAAAGGCCCCACCGGCCACGCTCAGGTAGGAAATCAGTTCGGTGGACTATTTGACACCTCCTCACAGAAAGCCAGGCACGCCTTTCGGGGCAGCTGACCTCACACAGAGACACAGAGACCATCAAGACTTGGCTCTGTGCTCCAGAGCCACCAGCCTGCTTGGGAGGAACTTGGGACCCTGAGGGGAGGGGACAGCTGAGCTGGCTGACAGCTGACAGGATGGGGTGCAGAGGTGGGGAAGGCGCTCAGGCTGAGGGAGATGCTCTGGATATCCATTTACTAGCAGCTAAGCAGCTTCTGCCCAGGTGCCCTAAGCCTCTGAGGCACTCTCTCCACACTGAGAAGAGAAGCCAAAAACCTCTCTTAGTCAAGGAAGTGGAGCAGAGACAAGTGCACTCAGAAATGCTTCCCATGCTGGGCTCAGACTCACTGTGTTGCCTGCCGTCTCCAAGAAAGCCCTCTGTTGTTCCTCTTTTCTCAGCGGAAGGGCAGGGGGCACCAGGGCATCACCCACAGGGGTCAGGCGGTGACGAGCAGCGTCGCACCAACACGTGCATGGCCGGAGCTCCAGCATCCACGCTCAGTGGGCTCAGCCCCCAGCCTTCCACCTTGGAGGCAGGTGATGTAATCGGCTCTAGGCTCAGAACTGTGGCGTGAGACTTCCCCAAACTTGCTCCCAACAAGAGAGAATTTATGATCTTTTGATACAAAACTGGCCTCAAGTGGAAGTCAAAGAGTCTCGTTCTTCCCAGCCATGGTGGAGGGAACAGCCCCTGGCCCGGCCCGCTCGGGACATCCACTGGCGCCTTCCGAGGCTCTGCCCAGTGCTCCGGCTTCGCCCCCACCGCCGAGGCCTGCTGAGCCCATGGTTTAGCTCATGGTGCTGTGAATTCTCTCATGAGCCACACTGGAGAGCAGCTGGGGCTTCAAAGGAGGCTTTGTCTGCGTACAAGTTTCCTGGCATTCTTTCATGCTATGCTCAACCCCTCCTGGGCCTGTACGAGGGTGTGATCCGCTCATGGCCAGCGCCTAGCCAGTGCCTTCTCATGTCCTGTTAGCTAAAGAGGCTTCGTGACAAAGTTAAGTTGCCTCAGAAGCTGGCATGGGCCCAGGCCCGGCACACAATGCATCCACAGCGTCATTCTCTCAGCCAGGGCCTGAGATTTGCAGGGGTGCAGGCTTCTGTGCTCATCACACAGGTGCAGGGACACCCCTGCTCTCAGGGGCTGACACCCTAACAAGTCTTAGTTACCCTGATAGCAAGGCTGTATTCAGAGCAGCTCTTGATCAAGCACCTATGTGCTCCAAGCTGGGAATTTTACATGCACTATCAATAATAGTGGATGTTTATGTTTATGTATCTAATACACATAACCTTAGGAGACAACAATCATCCCCACATTACAGATGTGAAAATGAGACTCAGAGATGTCAGGTCATTTGCCTAGGGCCACACAGCATGTTAGGGGCAGGATTTTAAAATGGCGTTGGGCACAAGCTGACCCCTGACCAGTACCCTGAGAACGTCCTTCCTGTGGCTCCCAGAGTGCTGGGCTGTTTTTAGGGGAAGTGCTAACTGCAGTAACTCTACCTTCTCCTGTGGCTCAGAAATAGCCTTGCAAAGCAATGCTGAGCCGCTCAGCGATCGCTGCTCCACAGTGCAGGGGACTCCGTAGCTCCTCTGGCCCCCAAATCTAGCCAGTTAGAGCAGCCCCTAAAACCCGCAGGGCTTCTCTACCGATCTGCAGGGCTACATGGCCCAGTCCCATTTTGCCATGAGAAGACTGAGGCCAGGTGTTGAGAGGTCAAGGTCAGAAGCTACCTAAAAACACCCCCAGGTGGAGACAGAGGTAGTGCCCAGGCCCGCTGCGACCTACCTTCATTGTGAAGGTCCCCGCGAGGCTCCGCTCTCTCCTGTTGGACGGCTTCCCGGCGGTACACCACATGCGTCCTCCCGCTGGCTTCCTTGTCCTGCTGCCCCCGCTCCAGGGGCTCAATGAAGTAGTCGGTTCTGTCTGTGTGGATGAGGCCCGCCTGACCAGACACGCCGCGAGCAGGAGGAAAGAGGATGAGGGAGAAGAGGCATGAACACACGGCCCGGAAGATGACGTCTGTGCACGCAAACACGGGTGACCACACGCATCCGCAGGTCCTGCTTCCAGGGTGGGAAGCCCTGGGGTTCCAGCAGGGGTGTGGGAGGGGGAGCTAGGAAGGCTGAGCAAGGGGGTGCATGCCCATCTCAAATAAAACGATCCACTTTAACTACGATGTGCTCCCCTGGGGTTCCATACAACATCTCATTAACAAAAGAGCCTGAGCTTAAAAGGGGGGCAGGGTGGAAGCGAAGTCGCTGTTGCAAAGAATAAGTGCGCATGACAGGGCTCTGCGTTCTGCTCCACAGAGGGGAAAGGCTATCCACACAGGTTAATTATGCTGAGGTTGGTGCGGGTCGCCCACTCCAGCACAAAGGCTATTATTTCCAATTTCAAGCACAGAGTGTGTAAGCCATGGAGAGCAGCTAATGTCCACTGACAATAAAGGAGTTGCATGCTCTAATTTTAAACTAACTGTTTGCCTGCCTCAAAATAGTCCCTTACAATAGATCAGGTGTTAGTCTTGGAAATAAAAATATAAAACTATAACCTGGCAACTCCCAGCACACATGTTATCGGCCATAATCACAGGGGCCAAGGAAACACGCAACTCGGTGTGTGTGAATGAATGGGGAGCTACAGGCCCCAGCCGGAGTCAGCTCCATGAAGCCCTAAGCCCCCACGCCTCGCCCTGTGCCTGGACACCTGTAGTAGCCCTTCACTTGTCCAACAAATATCTGAGGGCTACAGCATACAGCTGAAAACGCAGCTGCGAACACAAAGCGGTGGAAGGGGGGGGCAGGGAGCGGGTCAGGAGAGGTCTGCCTCACCATGTGGATCTCCTCCCCTGGGCAGGCGGGGATCGAACTCATGCGGAAGTGGCGTTAGCTTCTTAGTGCAGTGCTTTAACCCGCTGCGCCACCAGGGAGGGCCACCTCAACCTTTTGTGAGATCGCTTCTTAGAGACTGAGGACACACGCAAGTCCTAGCACCAGCCCATCTTCCTTATGTCCTTCCCTGCTACCAGGGATGACCGCACACCATTCTGGAACAAAACTATGGGTGACTGCCTTCCACGTCTTCGCGACTCAATCAACAGGTCAAACACTGTCCTGGAAAAATAGCAGCATCGCCGGCGTAAGTTCACGCTTTCCCCAGGTAGCCACTTTATCGGGTGATAGTGGGCAGTCGTGAAAGTTCTGGTCTGCTTATTAAAATGTCCATGTCACAAACAGACCATTAGAAACCAGAGATACCCTGCAGCGGAGTGGGAGGGAGAGAGAGAGAGCCTCAACCAGAAGGAGGGAGGGGGGCACAGGGGACTGTGATGATGGTGCATGGGTGAATTGGGGGGCGGGAGGGGAGTAAACATGTTTTAAAATGAAAAACAATGTAAATATTCATATATATATTAATTAAAAAAGTAAACTGTCCATGCCAAACCTTCCTTCAGCACACACTCATTTACCCGAAGCACTTTCACTGTTTTACTTTTGCATCTGCTGTGTGTTCAGGGCATGGAGGATCAGATAAATAAGGCTTTTTGGCTCATCCCCTGGGAAGGGGGTGGGGTGCACAGAGGGCAGAAGGTGGCCAGATAAGCTTGGAGCTATGATGGGCACACCCGAGGGACAAGGACCCATCAACCTCTCTGCTGCAAGAGACTCAACTTGAACCCACTTGGGTCAAAGAGGAGTACACTGGCCCCGTGACCTGCCATGGCAGAGACAGCACTGACCTGAGGGCCCGATGCCCTCAGCTCCCTCCCCACTAGCCCTTGGACAACTTCTGCATCTGTTTCATTCTCACAGTCCAGCTTCTCTCGGTTCCTATGGGCGCACTGCCACCCTGCCTCGGGGGACCAAGGGAACGTCTGTCTCATCTGCAGGAGCCCAGGGAAGGGCTGCGCTTGGTCTGGTTGAGTCTCCTGGTCATTCTGAAACTGGCAGGCTCTGCTAGAGCCCGTGGCCAGAGGAAGGGTGCAGACTGCATGGGAAGAAAGGAGAAACTCTGAGGACGCTAAGGAGCCCCAATTGAGATAATAAGGCCCCAGCAGGTAGGGGTGTAGGCAGGGGTGTGGTGGGAGGGCAGCGTGGGGCTGGGAGGTACTCAGACTCATGGACACAGCCAGACTGAACAGCTGATGCCAAAACAAAGGACCTTCTACCACTGTAGTCCTGAGGAGCCCCTAAAGGTCGCTAGGGGCCAGAGGGCCAGATGCCAGTTTCTGGGCCCAAGGAATTCTCCCCAAAATCACTGAAGCCCTGAGGTCACCAAGGTTTATAAACAGTTTCTCAGCCACGCCCCATGCCCTGCCCAGCACAGCTCTCTTACCCCGGCCTGCCTCACCCCAGCGCATCCCATCCCTCTTTCTGCAATCCTGTCGGATACCGAAAGGGGAATATTTCTGAATGCCCAATTCAAGCCCCTCTGGACTAAGCAAGGCAGGAGGCCCACGCAGCACAAGTCAGGAGGTCTGTGCCTCATGCAGGTCAAACCCAGACTTGCAGAGAGTGGCCGCTGGCACTGCCTCTGCCCTTCACAGCACTGCAAGCCCTCTGGCAGGGAGATAATCCGGACTGGGAGGCAGAAGGCTGCATTCAGCCACGCCCATAAGTGAGACCCCCCCACCTAGTCCTCCCCGCTTGGGGCCTTGGTTAATCGATTGCATAGAGAATACTGAAAAGCTGGCCTTCCAGCCACCCCACCTCCCAAGATCACCCTGCCCACCCCAGTCTAAGACTTCAGTACCTCCACAACACCCCCAGTTGCACAACTCTTGCTTTCGCGATTGCCCCTAGTGACAGAGAGCTCCCTCCCTCAAGAGATAACCTATTCTGCATAGGGACACTTAATGCTTCACAGAGCAAGACACACTTCCTGACATCCTCCCCATTACAAACAGTCTCAACATCCCTGATCACTCATACCATCTTCCATTTGTATTTTCATCTCATTTGTTTTTCACAACAACAAAAAGTAGATCATTTCATGAGAAGGGAAAGAGACTCAGAATGGTTAAGTAACTCACTCAAATTCACCCAGCAAGGGACAGCACTAGAACAAAAGTCCAGCTCTGTGTAGCTCATAACCATTATGGTATATTATCTCAGGTCCTGCTTCTCCCTTGGGGGTCACTTATCGCAAAGAAACTGTCCTTTCATAGCCCCATCTGCAAATCCCTGGGCCTCTGGGCTGGTCTGACTGGTCTGTGGAAGCCAGTCCACTTCCCACCATGGAGATGAGAACAAAGAAGACACTTCTGCCCCAAAAGAAGCAGCCCCCCTCTGTCTCCAGGGGACCTCTGAGCAACCTGAAAGAATTCTTGCCCTACACGCCATCCTCATCATACCCCCAGCTTTTTCCTCTGAGGATCCCAGGTCAGTCCAGCCCCCCCCCCATGCCCACCTGCAGGCCTTCCCCCAGGGGATAGTTACAGAAGCCCTTTCCCACCTAGCTAGCTGTTTAAGCTAATGCTCAAGCACTGTAGTATATAATCTGAGAAATAACCCTTAAACCTCTCTAGCACCATGGATCTCTTCAAGCCCCAGGGGCCAGGGACAGATCCTCCCCAGTGATCTTCCTCATCCTTTTCATGCATCAAGACTGGGTCTTGACAGGCAGTTCTTTCCCAGGCCTGCATGGCTCCCTGCCCCTGAGATAGCACCTGACCCCACCTCCTCTGAGCAAGACCACTGAAGCCAGGCTGGATGCCAGGCTCCAGACCAGATCAGGAGGCCTGCTGGGCCGGCCCCTCTCCCAGGCCCTCAGTTTTCCTGTCTGCACCAGGAACGACTTGGCCCCGCTCCCCACCAGCTCTGCCCTGGCCAGGAAACCAGGCACCACACAGGACAGACAGGCTGGCAACGGGAACGTTCTGGCTCTGTGCCTCCTCACCAAATTACTCCCGTCTCTCAATTTATGAGATGTTTATATTTCTGAAAAGTGGTGGTTAATTTTCAAGCACTAAAACTGAATCGAATTTCTATATGAAAAGTCAAGAAAAGGGAGAAAATAAACTATTGGAAAATAAATGTCAGCCATATCTGTTCTCAGCTATACCTTCTTCTTTGGGAAACAATAAGAAAATATGTACTAAGAAAGTTCTTCATGCAACAAAAACAATAAAAGCTGCTAACACCCACAGAGTCCCATGTTCCATGGCGCTCAGGTAATTTCTCTGAATGGAGACTGTCCCCGTGCAGGCCTGACACCCTTGGGTATATTCTGGGCCCTCTGATCAGCCTGCTTCTGAGGGGCCTTCCTGAGAGACCTGTGGCTAATTGAGGTGGAGGGGGGGAACAGGTTTGAATTTTCCAAAGCAGCTGTAACATCGTTTTGGTTGCAAAGGTGGCACCTTCTGCTATGTCTTCATCCAGAGCCCTGCAGGCCATGCTGACTGAGGTGCCCCATCCTGCTTGTGTGCTGGGAAGCACCCAAGTCCAGGCTGTGATTCCAGGGTACCTGAAGAAGTCAGGGTCATGTGGTGGCAGGGGTGGGGGAGGGTGCTGGCTTAGAAATCACCTTGTGTCAGGCAAAGGGTCATAACTGAGTTGGTTCAGGTGGGCGTTGTATCGACACCCCATGTGTCATCAGGGCATTCCATAGAGGTTGGCCAATCTGAGGGCGCAGCCAAAGGGATCAGGGGTCCCCTTTCCCAAAGGGGCTGCTGCTGTCCTCAGAACAAAGCCCCTGGCCCCTCCCTGGACCCCAGACCAAGTCCTTGCTCGATGTCTGTGCTCTGGACTCAGCACGGATGGCGCACCAAATACTGTGGATATGTTCGCATGAAACATGTTTATTCTACCATTGCATGCACTTGCATGTAAACTTGGAGGCAAAGGTACAACCGTCCACAAAGAGCTCTCCAGGGAGGCCTCAGGGAGATCCCCAAGACCCCGTGAGCCAAGATGGGGCAGAAGTCCTTGCACAGCCACAGAC